TCTCTCTCTCTCTCTCTCTATATCTATTGTGTGTGTGTGAATATATATATAGGGATAGAGAGATAGAGAGATCTCTATATCTATATCTCTCTCCCCCCACAGGCGATCATCTTTATTTACGAAATATATATTCTTCTTGTACTGCACTGTGTCACCCTGCATTTTCCCAAAGCTTGTAAGGAGGCCATTTTGTTTGTCGTGATCTTTTTGCCTTGTATGTAACTACTGGCAGTTAGCCAATAGCACAGTTGGTGTGACACTACCTTTTCTTGCTGTACACAGCCACCAAAAACACCTTAAAGGAATCCAGCCTAATGAGACTACTCCTTATTGTGTTAAAGATGCAGTCTCCAAAGAATAAATATCCAATAGATAGATGATATTACTCAGCATTTTCTTTCTTTTTATATAGTTTCATGATGACAATTTATATTTGAAACCTTGGATCACTGAATTGTATAGGCAGTTTCTGCGTTTTTTTTTCTATTCTGTAAAATCTGTTAGTAAAAATCTATCATACTAAATATTATAAAACAGAATTAAAAATAATAACCACAGGTAATATTACAATATGCATTACAGTGAAAGCATTTATTTGTAACATGTATATTCACATACCAATCAAATTGACATAATAAGATAATATATAATGGAATATTTTAGGAGTAGCTTTCCTCGTAATGTCTATTTAAACAAAATAGTGGTGATGAGTTTTATTCATGGCAAAATGCACACAGATTGCTTTTTTATACTTGAACAGTTGCAGCTTGATATTGAATGATCTGGCAAATGAGAATGACTTTCACTTTTATTTCTTTCCTCCCATGTGTGGTAATGAAATACTTGATAAATCCTGAACGAATTTACTGTAATCACCACAGCGTGAAATCACTGTAAGGTATGACAAGAAGAATGATGTTTTGAGCCTGCAAAAAGGGAGAAGGAACATGATGAAGTCATAGGCACTACTGATGGCCTTTCAAAAAATACAAAAATTTCATCTGAGTAGAGCTTTAATGTGCCTCAGTCTGTCTTTGTTTCAAATACCTCCTCCTTCCTTTTTTAATAATTGCCAAGATAGTTAAAAGCAGAGAGCCAATTACAGAATCTGGTTATTTCAATGGTATATTTTCAGCCACAAGAAAATTTGATTAATGGCTTTTCTTATGTTGTAATCTGCACAAAATAACTACAAATACATTAAATTTGATCTTTTGAATAGTGAATCTGTTTTCTTTCAAGTAATTCAGTTTTTATTAAACGAAACTGAAAATTTTCCAAATTTATATGAATGCATGTTGTAAACTAGGAATGTATGGAACATTTAAATGTTGTATTTGTGCCAGTGGGTTTATTCTGTGTTGGAGAAAGAACCCTGTCTTCCTCCAACATAGATTATAAACAATTTAATTTACATTTGTGTTCAAGTAAAATATACATAATTTATAAGTGGCACCCTATGAAATTACAAAATACCATCTAAATAACTAGCACTCGGGTTGTGTCCACAAATCATTTAAAGAGTGTCATACTCTTCTCGACTATGTGGGTAGTAAATTCAGTCTTACATATATAAGCCACATCCAGCAGCAATTATTTTTAAATCTTGATTGTGAAGTAACTATTTTTAATAGCTTTTGTATTTGATAAGGAATTATATAAAATACTCTGACTAGAACCTATAATAACATTTTTGGTGTGGTTTACAAGGTGGCAGTTGGTGAAAAAAATTGTACGTGGAAGCATTTGCATCGTAAAGGATTTGAGATTTTCTGCAATTGAATAATGGGGGAAAGAGCCACCTCTAGTGAATGGTGGCAATACTTCTTTACTAAATTCAGTGGGCTATTTTTCAGAAAGTTATCTCCTCCTCTTTCCAGAAATCTATTGTTTTACAATGAATTTTGGACAGCTCCCTATTGCTTTCACAGTACATACGTGCTTTTTTTTGTGCTGGAAGCTAATAGAAATGTCTTCTCTTTCTGTCCATGACTATTTCATCAATTGTCTCGCATTGAATAATTCTGAACTGAACAGAGGAAACTTCGCTGGGATATGTGAGGACAACTTGTGAATTTTCAGTTTTGTCTTCAATCCTTAAATATTAATTTGCAGTTAGTTTTATTTTTCTTGCTGTTTGCTTCTTTGCATCTTAAGTTGTTTCTTATTTTGGCATTCCTCAAAAGTAGTTTTAGTAAGTTCAATGTGTCTTGAGTATAAAAGAACTAGTGAACAGTGGAAGTGTGATATTCTGATGATTATGCACTGACTTTTCAAGGTATTCAGTATTTCTCTTGTTTTTAAATAGAAATGATGTTTATTGTTTTTTCTTAATTTAGAACAGTGCAGTAGAAATATATTGATTTATTACTGAATTGGCATACTCAGCATATTAGAGAACTGTTCTTTGATTTTAATTGTTGATGAGAAATGAGCCCTAGTTTACATTGGTCAATTGCATGATGTTCCTTTACTTACCTTTATTTAACTATATGTGAATTAATGAAAATTATGACTTTGATATTATTGAGCAATGTGCTGTTAATAGTTAAACATTATTCAAGGGTAACTTTAGAAATTGGTACTTGGGAAAAACAAGAAAAAGTCTCACCAAAATAATATCAAAAGGCAACCAATCTGCATGGAGGCATTCATGGGATAAGAGTAGATCTGGAAAAAGGCAGCTTATTTTTATTAGTACGTATATGCACGTATTTGTATTAGAGTTTGCTATGTCAACAGACAATGTTCAGAGGAGCAGCATGTAAATACGGATCCATTCAAAAGGCTAGGATTTTTTCACTGAAGCATAGGAGGTTGAAAGGCGACCTGATAGAAGTTTATAAAATAATGAGGGATATAGATAGAGTAAATGGTAGTTGTCTTTTCCCTAGAATAGGGAATTTTGAGACTGGGGTCACATTTTTAAAGTGAGAGCAGAGGGATTTTAAAAAAAGACATGAGGAGCAAATCTTTTACACAGAAGGTGGATCTTGTGTGGAATGAACTTGATGGTGGATGTGGTTATAATTACAATGTTTAAAAAACATTTGGATAAATAAGTGAATAGGAAAGGTTTGAAGGGATATGTTTGGCATGGACTGGTTGGACAGAAGGATCTTTCCATGCTGTAGGACTTTGACTCTATGGAGATTGTTACCTCTAAGGAGACACGTAAAATTGGAACCAAGCAATGGCAGTCTGACATGCTTGAGAGATTTTAAAGGGAAATAGTATAATCAGCTCATTGGAGGTTGTGGAGAAGGTTCATCGAATTCTGAGGGATATCATGTAAGTTACTTACTTTGGATTGGTGTTAACAGAGTGAGTTTAGTTGCAATTGTGGGAGACTGTGCAGGAAACTGATTGGAAAATGGTTTTTCCAAGAGCTTTGGAGATAAAATGGAAAGATACGCATGGAGGAGTGTTTGGAAAGGGTGCCCTTTTTGGGAATGGGATGATGCAGGCCATTGAAAATTGCTTTGGGAAATCATGAATAACTTGGTTAGGGATGTGCAAGGGCACTGATGCCATACCTCCTGAATACATCAATTTAGCTCATGTGTTTCATAGAATCCCGACAATGTGGAAGCAGGCCATTCGGCCCATTAGCCCACACTGACCCACCGAAGAGCATCCCACCCAGACACCCCTCCCCACACTCCTGTAACCCTGCATTCCCATGGCTAATCTAGTTAATGTGCACATCTTTTGGATTGTGGGAGGAAACTAGAGGACCCAGAGGAAACCCATGCTGACAGAGGGAGAATGTGCTAAATCCATGCAGACAGTCACCCAAGGCTGGAATTGAACCCCGGTCCCTGGCTCTGTGAGGCAGCAGTGCTAACCAGTGAGCCACTGTGCCGTCCCACGTGTCTTTAAAACGTTTTCCTGTAGCTTTTTGTTCCTCGGGAGCAGTATTTATAGGCACTATCTTTTGACATCTGTCCTTCTGTAATTTAGCTTTAATGCCAGATAGATTAAAAGAAAAGATTTTGGAATTCAAAAAAATGAATTAGTTAAGGCCCATCTGCAATCTTCTCTTGTTCAAACAAAACCCATTAATGTAATGTACAGCTGAGGAATTTAATTTGAGATGCTTTTATCAAGGAGTAAAATAATTGCTATCTTGTACAATTCATTTTAGCACGACGTCCCATCTCAAGATTGTTATCCAATAGAGAAACAAATCAGAATTTAAAAAAATGCATATTACTGAAGCTTCATAGCACAGAGGGCAGTCAAAGCCACATATGGCTTTTAATGTTCATAATTAAGCAATATTTTCTACTGAATACAATTATCAGTAGCTTATTGATTTAACTATATAAACCTTACGTATCAAAGCAACAATTGATACTTGTTGAATATTTTACATAAAAAGCACCAGCTAGAAACTATATTAAAAAAGAAATTTTAACAAGTGTATTTTGTTCAATGTATATTCTACAAATCAATTTACTGTAAAAATTATCTTAGTATGGAAAAATATCAGAAGGCATATCAAATGTGTAAAGAAAAAAAATCATGCACCCAGCCAGGGAGGGAGATTTGGAATGACCGAAAACTTAATCAAAGAAATAAGTTTTAAAGAGGATCGTTGAGGTGAAATGGAACATGGATGAGATGTAATGTAGTCATTTTAAAATGTTAATTTTAAGTGGATGAAGCCTGGCCACATGTAGTTGGGGGGTAGAAAAGGGGATAATTTTAAATTTGAGACATTGGTGGGGAGGGCGTAGTGAATGGTGATGCAAGTTAATGAAATTCAAAAATAACAGGGATAATATGAGGTTATGGTTGTCAGTCCTCTTGATTGCCCAGGAGACTTCCAGAATAGAACAGAACCCCTCTGCGCATTCTTGCTAGCAGCCTGAGAATGTTACACTTTTAAATATCATTCTACCAAAGTAGCCCCACCAACCCCTCTCCTGTCCCATGGTCCTAAGACTTCATTGACTTCTGGTCTGTGACATTAATCACTGACACAAACCCTTCTCTTCACACTTTCTGCGAAGACTTTCCCATTTGGGAGTTACAAAAGCAGGATTGGCTGATTTCTGATGTGAGTGTACATGAGCGTATGTACATGTGAAAGAAACAGAGACATTCAAACGGAAAAGGTTGTGGGGTGAGGGTGACTAAGTGTTGCGGATAATCTGGTCAAATCAGGGAGCCCTGGCTGGCAGGTATAATCAGGAGTGTCAGAGGTTCTGTTCAGTCTGAGAGTTAGCTTTGCAGAAGCTGGATTAGTGTCAAGGACTTTACACCTGTAAAAAGGAGCGTCTTGGTGACGGGATACTGGCGTGTGTGGAATTATTTCAGTGGCGACGTGAGTGGTATTAATGATGTAACCATGCAAAAGTGCTTACTAACTGAAGCCCAAGTGGACTTCAAACAGGCACTACAACTAGCTTTAGCAGTGGAAAATGCTGCACATTGAGCATGAGTTGCAGGGTATTCTGATGGAAGTGGACATCTTCACCAGTCCGACTGAGCAAAAGCAATTACATAACCTCACTCCGGACATATCCTGAACAGAGGGACTCTAGGTCAGTCCACAGCAAAACCCCAAAACAAAGCCAAGTCTTATATGGTTAAAATTTTCTTTGGGATCCAGGCTGGCAAGCCTTTGTAGTTGCTGCCGGTATGCGGACTTGAGACAGCAAAAGAATCCCACTAGACCTAAATTGAGGAAGAGAAGGCTGGTATCCACGGGAGTGCACATACTGGAAAGGCCATATACATCTGGTTTGGAGCAGTTAAATTGCTTGGCAACATCCAAATTAGAACCAATCAAAATAAACATCTGGTTAAACGGTCACCCAGTTAAAATGGAGGTGAATACTGGCATGGCTGTTTCGGTGATCGCAGAAACAGTCTTTAACAAAATTCAGGCTGGAGTCCAGCCCTTAAGTTTGTGCAAGACCTTGGCTAGACTGAGAACCTATACCAAGGAATCTTTACAGATTAAGGGTACAACTTCAGTTCCGGTCTCTTCTGAGAAACAGCTGGTTCAGTTACCCCTGATTTGTAGTAAAAGGCTTGCGCCCAAGCTTGATGGGTGAAATTGGTTGAGAAAGATTCACCTGGATTGACTCAACATGTTTCGATTAGAAAATGGCGGCATGAATGAAGTCTTGATTAACTATGCAAAAGTTTTTCAGAAAGACCTAGAGACTATCAAAGGAGCCAATGCCATCTTGCATGTTGACCAGGAAGCAATTCCACAATTCTACAAGGTTTGCCCAGTACCATTTACCTTATTGGGAAAAGTAGAGACAGAAATCAGAGGGCTGGAAAATGAAGGAATTTTTTCTGAAGAAGGGTCTAGGCCCGAAACGTCAGCCTTCCTGCTCCTCTGATGCTGCTTGGCCTGCTGTGTTCATCCAGCTCTACACCTTGTTATCTTGAATTATCAAACCAGTCCAGTTTGTGGAAAGGGCAGCACAGGTCGTACTGATTTGAAGTTTGATGGGTTGGTTTCCTTTGTGGGGATTTTAAACAAACACTAAACAGCTTTTCCCAGCTGCATAAATACCCAATCCCTCGCATTGAGGATTCATACGTGAAACTGCCAAGAGGGTTGTCCTTCATGAAGCTGGATGCGTAATTCCCAGAAGTATGCTGCAATTACTACCCATAAGGGTTTGTACCAATATACGAGAATGCCATTTGGGGTATTGTCAGCCTGTACAGTTTTTCAGCAGACAATGGGGAACATTTTACAAGGTCTACCATTTATCTAGATGACATGCTAATAACAGGGAAGAGCAATAGGAGCACTTAGAAATCTTTGACATAATCCTTAGAAGTTTCTCCCAGTACTTTACAAAGTGGAAATGTGTCTTCCATGGACAAGTGACCTACTTGGGCTACAAAGTTGACAAGACTGATTTACACCCGTAGGAAGATAAAGTGAAGGCGATCAAAGGTACCCCAGCTTGTTCAGGATGATTGCACTTACCCAAACTTTATACGTCACTGGATCCAACCTACTATCGACCATGCCTCTTACCCATGCAGGTCTATTTCTATGGTTCTTGCACCAAACCAGCTTCGGACTCAGAGTGGGAGGAATGTAGTGATTGTAACGAGGTCAGCCAGATGGACCTCATAGAATATGAGTTCCCTGATTGGGACTGTTAATCTGTTTCAATCAGGGAGCCCTGGCTGACAGACAGAAACAGCAGTGTCAGAGGTTCTGCTCAATCTGAGAACTGGCTCTGAGAAAGCTGAATCACTGTCAAGGACTTTCTACATGTAAATAAAGGGTGATTTGGTGATAGGATACTAGCCTTTTTGAAGTTATTTCCGGAAGGAAAACAGAAAATAGTAATCCAAATCTGAAAAGAGGAAAAGATTTATGTTTTGGATGTTGATGCTTTGTCAGGTATGTTTACCTTCCTTCATATTGAAAGCAAACCCTGGTTATCCCATTTTAAAATGTCTGTAAATAAATTCGGCATATATAGCATCAGAAATGAAATTTTTTTCACTGTTATTGGAAGATGACTTTACTCATGTAAAGTAGATACAATGTGCAAAACAAAAGGTTCACTGCATGGTTTAGATGTATAGCGCCCTCTGCTGACAGCTAAACAAAAGCAAGTTTCTGACATGAGAAAACCTAAAATTTGAGAATAATAATTTTGCAAATAAAGGTAATTGATATAATTTCAGCATTAGTTTCTATTTTCTCCTTTCATGTCCTTTCCTAAAAGTATTGATTCTTTGATGGAATACAATTCCATTGGCAACAAGCAACATCGAAAACGTTGCGTAGACATTTTTGTTATCAGCCTTGATAGTGAGGCGCCAGAAATGATTGAACAGTGGGAGTGTCATGCACGAGCTAATACTCTGTCTTTATTTAATATCTGCAGATAGATGCTTCCAGAAGCTGTTACTAGAAAACCGAACGAGAGGGGTAATCCTGACCAATAGTCCACTTGCCCCTTTCTTAACCAAATAATGATGAGACCAATTCTAGTGCCACTGACCAGTTTTAGGCCAGTTAATTCAATGCTGATTTAGAATTGAGTTTAGGATCAGTTTGTAACACCATCTGTCATAACTGGGATTCCTATGACTTTTTTTATTAGTGAGGTTAATAGAATATAACTTGTAGGTTTGATTGATGTAATATATTATTGAAATTTAAAAGCTTGACATAAAACCTTTTCTGAACATTTTATGGAAACAATCCAAATTTAAAGATCTTATTGGTGATAGAAATTCTAGTTTAACAACAGAAAGGATAGTTTCTTCTTAAAAGTACAGAACCCAGTTTTCCTAGTTGTCAAATTTAGAATTAAAATAATTAATTAAATAACTTCTAACAAACGAGAACGTGGTTTTGCAGTTTTCTCTACCAGCATTGCTTACTGCACAAAGATTTAATTTTACAATTATAAAAAAATAGTGTTTAGGCTAAAGTTTTTCACTTGATGCTAACTTTTTTTTATTTCCACAGAGCAGCACTTGCCTCTGCCCACCAAGGACAACCTCTGCCAGATAAGTTAAGTGTCCTTGAAAGCACACCACAGGTTAGAGGATTGCACACAATTATCAGGTAACTTTAGACATGCTTTCATGTATTTAAGAAATGTATGATTTACATGAAGCAGAGTACCTAGCCAAGAGGGCAAGAAAACTGCTGACATCTCATTAGTGCAGCTAATGGATATACTTAATGAAGGAATAGTCTTGCCACCAGTTTACAGCCATTCTGTAATCAGGGGGCCTTGTTATCTATCATTTGAGTGAATGAAGTATCTAAACTATCAACAAATTTACCAGTGTAGGTCCTCCCAGTTTTCTGAAAGGAATTGGGCCTTTCATATTCACGATAAAGAAAAGCTGAGATCTGGAATTTTAGCTGCTGGAAAATGATAGAATCATTGTAGAATTGCTACAGTGCAGGCAGAGGCCATTTGACCCGTTGAGTCAGCATTAACCCTCTGAAGAGCATATACCCTATCCCCATAACTTCACATTTAAACCACCTGGCCTAAGTACTATGGAGCAATTTAGCATAGCCAATCCATCTAAGCTGCACAGCTTTGGACTGTGGAAGGAAATCAGAGCACCCAGAGAAAACCCACAGACATGGGGAAAGCATGCAAACTCCACACAGTTGCCCAAAGCTGGAATGGAGCCCTGGGTCTCTCGAACTGTGAGGCAGCATGCTAACTGCTGAGTGTTATTTTGAGGTTGGGCATAAGATCACATACTTGTATCTCCAGGTGTGGGTTTCTTACTGTGATTAGGTTGAGGTTGGCTGAAGCTCTGTACTTCACCTTTCAGTGAGTCATATGTAATATGTGTTCATACTTTAGTTAGAAAGATGGTGGCCATGTTGTCATGAGTCGTGCTACTCACCCTGTTGTTTTTGAGGAGATTCTCGTTTCTGTTATCAATGAAACAGCCTCATGAGTTTACTTATGTCAAGAGTGAGGAAGCTTCAAGTTAATATGTCTAGTAGAAACAACCCATCCTTAGCTTGACTGTTCGGGTCAAAACTACTCCAAGCACTCCAAATAGATTGACCAGTCAATCTGCTCATAGCAGAAACCTGAAGGAAGTAGACATATCAGTGGATGGTGGGAGTGGGGGATAATGTTGGATAGTGTTAGGATTCTTGCCACTGGAATTCAGATAATCTTGAAAATCCATACCCTAAGAGGTATAAAATGATGTTCACTGGATAAGCAATGAAATCTTATCTCTACTTCAGTTTGAGCTGGTAAACTTACCTGTTTGTATTCTAGCATACACTTTCTTTGCCTTATCCTTCAAGGGATATAGACAGTATTTGTTGCCCATCCCAAATTGCTCCTGAACTGAGTGGCTTGCTGAGCCATTCAAATGTTATTTAAATTTAAAAGCTTGAAGCAACTCTTTTTTTGATTATTTTATGAAAATAATCCAAAGTTAATGATCACATCAACAACTGAAAGTCTCGTGCACCGAAAAACAAACTCTACAAGGGGCTGAATATTTCTCCGCTTTATTTGGAGACCTTTCTACTTTTGTTAAACATCAAGCCAACTTAAAATGTATTGGTGTAAATTATAAAGCAATCATCTAACCTAGTTTGAATGCACATATAGACCACTTGAAAGAAAGGAAGGGCTTGCATCTGTATATTAACTTTCACATTCTCAGGAAGACCAAAGTACATGACAGTCAAGGATGTACCTTTTGAAAGGTAGTGACTTGTAATGAGATTCAAAGTGGCAGACAATTTGCGCACATCAACTCTCTGATGTGGGCATTGAACCAATCATCTTTCAATTTAAATGGCATTAATACGGCAGAGCCAAGGCTGACGTTGGAAGATACGAGGAGGATCCTAAAACTTTCTACTTAAGCTTTTCTCTTGAAGTTTACAGTGACCTTTGAAACTTTCAATTAGTTTCTGTATTCCCTCATTCCGTTGTTATTTATATAACTGAATTGGATTTAGTTTTGCTTTTATTGGATGTGTAAGATAATGTGCATAATTTTCAATAAGTTTGAAAATGTCCTATCAATGTGGTTAATCTTTTGGTTAAAACATGGTGTTCAATACAATGGTGTTTCAGAACTGTTATTGCTTAAGTGACGTTTTATTATATTTTGTCTGTTGAACAGAAATAAAGAAACCAGTCGAGATGAGTTTATTTTCTATTCCAAGAGATTAATGAGGTTACTAATTGAACACGCCCTTTCTTTCTTGCCACTCAAGGTAAGATTTTCACTCATGCTAATCATTGAAGTCATTGCGGTTTTGGACTTGATAGGCAAAACAAAAATGCATTTGACTTGATACTTGGTTTGATTTAGTTTCACAAGTATAGAAGCAGACTTCATCATTCTTGGCAAAACCAAAGCTTTTGTTTTGTTTTCATGGGAGCAAAAGATATTAAGGCGTGATTTGATCATTGAAAGGAGGAACGAATGAAAAGTATTTGGGAACAGAGAAGGCATAAGGAATTGGGAATACTCGTGGAAATTTCAATGAATCAACATTGATTCATTGGGATGAATACCTGGTTTTTTTTATCATTACCTCCTTGTTTTTTTTTGTTTTGTTCCTCTTGTCATCTTATAAAGAAACAGAATGAGGCTCACATCATGAGCTGTGTTAGAGTCTGGCTCATGTCCAACATTTCCGACTTGGGGTTTGCTGTCAGAAAATAATTGAAGGCAAAGTGCTTCTTTTACTGATTACTAAAATTTGTTTTTGATTAATATTATAGCCTGTTACAGTGGAAACGCCTCAAGGAGAACTGTATGAAGGAAAGAAATTTGGTGGAAAAAGGGTGAGCATCTCATGGTTTTCTAGGAAATCTTAACAAATTTACTGATTATTAATGTGAACTTGTTTTTACACAAGGCGTCAGTCAAATCCCTCAATTGTTGTGATGTTTTTATCAGATTTTTACAGCAGGATTTGTTTTTCGTTTTTGAGAGGATAAGGAAGTAAAAAGTGATGATGTGCAGTATATAGGAACAGATGAACTCTTTAGAAATTGGAGGGTATCGTGCCGATTTAATTTCTAGGTTGTAAAAAAAATCCAGAAAAATTGTTCACTATAGTAAAGAGCTCAAATAATAGGACATGTATTTTAAGGTTAAAATTTAGGATTTGAAAGGGAAGTTAGAAGGATTATTTTAACTAGAGTAATAATTGTGGAATAATTAAAAGGGAACACCATTGAAATGTTTAATATACCTGGCCATTTAGATGTGTTCTCGAAGGTATGAGACCATGGGATTTGGTTACAATCCAGATTTATGTAGTTTATCTTCGTAAATCAAACAAACTTCTTTAGCCTAACAAAATAAACCTTATCAAAAATGTTTTCCATTTATATGCCACTTTTCATAAGCTTTAGATGACCAAAGTGCTTTACAATCAATTACGTACCCTTTAAAATGTAATCACTTCTGTAATTGAGAAAGGTGACTGAATTTGCATTCAGCGTGGTCCAGCTAAAAAACTAATGTTTTAATGACCAGATAATTTGTTTTCAGATGTTGGCTGAGGGACAGTTATGGGCCAGAACACTAGACAGAACTTCCCCTGCTCTTTAAATGATAAGACCGTAAGATGTAGGAGCTCATGTACGCTATTCGTCCTATTGTGTTTGTTCTATCGTTGATCTGATAATCCTTAACTCCACTTTCCTGCCTTATCCCCATAACACTTGATGATTAGAAATTTGTCTATTTTCTTGTTGAATCTGTTTAATGACCAAACCTCGACACCTGCCTGCAGTAAAGAATTCTTCAGATTCACCACCTTCTGAGAGAAAATATTCCTCCGCATCTCTATCTTAAATGGATGACACCTTATTCTGAGATTATGCTGTCTGGTCCTAGCCTCTGCAATAAGGGGGAACAAACTCTCTTCATCTACCCTGTCAAGCCCCCTAAAAATCTTAACATTTCAGTAAGTTGTCCTCTCATTCTTCAATGTTCCAACAGCCCAATGTAATCAGCCTCTCATGATAAGATAATCCCTCCATACCTGGTATCAGCCTACTGAACCTTCTCTGGACTGCCTCCAATGCCAATATTTCCCTAGATAAGAGGCCCAAAACCATTCACAATATTCCAGCTGCAGTCTGATCACTGCCTTTTATAGATTTAGCAAGATCTTTTTATTTTTAAACTCTATTCCCTTTGAAATAAAAGCTATCATTCCATTTGCCTTTCCTATCATACGGTTAGTTAGATGACACAAAAGCTGCAGCAGCTGTAAACAAGCTAGCCTGAGGTGAAGTTTAGTTAAAACTGGGAGGTAAGTCTCTTTCCCGGGAAAGAAAAGAAAACCTTCTAATAAACGGATGATCATCCAACCATGATAGACAGCACATGTGTGATGTTTGCCAGTGGTCAAACTGATCAACCTTTTCATACTGGATACTGTTGATGTTTGATCGCACAGACTGCTTGTATGGAAAAGAGTATAAGAAAGCATACCTCAGAGTGATACTTAGTCAGTTCCAGAACAGGAGTCATCTGGTTAAGGTCTAGAGGTTGGGACAGCACAGGCTGATCACCTGTTTCAGTATGATCCTTCGATAAGTCCACTTAAACCTGGTCACTTGCGACTAAAAGCATTGTAGGGGTATGCTTGTGATGTATTACTATTATTGTATTTTTATCATGTACCCTACCTTGATTTAAAAAAAAAATTAGATATATATTTGTTGTAACTGTCATGGTTTATTACTCATTTGTGCAGCAGTTTTATATACAGTATTATTAGTATTGCTATAATGAATTATTCTTTGTTTAGATTACAGGAGTCTCTATCCTTCGTGCTGGTGAAACAATGGAACAAGCACTAACTGCAGTGTGCAAGGACATCAGACTTGGAAAGATTCTTATTCAAACTAACCATGACACTGGCGAGCCTGAGGTATACTGTACTGTCAACTAACCAATCCAGGGATCTAGCTGATTTGATCTTGTAACAACTATTTTGCAGGGAATAATTTCTTTATCATTTGTGTTGTACCTGATACAGCAGTCTAGTTAATCCCTTAAACCAACAACACAAAAACAATCTGCGTTTTCTTAGTTGATCAGTAATCTGCATCACAGCTGCCAATTATTTAATAATTTTAAATACTAAACTTGATGCCCAATATTACGTGCAATATGTTGTTTGGTGCTTTTCATAGAATCCCCACAGTGTGGAAACAGGCCCTTCGGCCCAACAAGTCCACACGGAACCTCAGACCATCCCACCCAGACCCATTCGCCTGTAACCGACCTAATCTACACATCCCTGAGCACTGCGGGCAATTTAGCATGGACAATTTACCTAACCTGCACATCTTTGGATTGTGGGAGGAAACTGGAGCGCCCGGAGGAAACCCACGCAGACATGGGGAGAATGAATGCTTTTGTAGAATAATAGTATCTCTGGTCGTTCTATCTATCAATAAGCCTGTAATTGTTTTGTATTTCTTTTCAAGTTACTTAATTAAGTACTCATGATGCTGAATTTAATATCATTTACTTGAATTTTCTTTGGAGACTTCGTGTGATGTGAGGGGAATGAGGCTGAGCGAAGCAGGCGTGAAGTTCAGTGTGGTGGAAATTTAATAAAAAGAACAAGTGCCCAACTTTGCACAGCATTTATTTTTAACAGTGATCATGCTTCAAATATCTGTCATTAAGCTATGCCTATCAATAGAAAAAAGGCCTAAGGATTTATAGGGGTTCTGCAATTATTTGCATTCACTGTGAGGTCTATGGCAGCTATTGATGTCTCAGAATTCAAAATCCCAAAATCTTGTATCATAATAAATTGGAAGGGGGTGACAGCTCACTGCTGGGAGTCCTTGTGTAGCGATTGTAGAGAGGTCAGCCAGGTGGACTTCACGGAATATGAGTTCCCTGATTGGGGCTGTTAATCTGGTCCAATCATGGAGCCCTGGCTGACAGATTAAAAATAAGAGAGTCAGACATCCTGTTCAGTCCGAGAGTTGGCTCAGAAGGAGTTGGATCAGTGTCAAGGACTTTCCATGTGTAAATAGAGTGTGACAGGATACTAGCCTCTGTGGAGTTATTTCAGTGGTGATGGTAAGAAAGCACGCGCCTGAAGAAATTTACTTGTAGCAGTCATCTTCGAGTTGGGATAAGTATTTCTGGCATCATGCCATTATTTGGGAAGCTTGACTCTTTCGATCTTGCCATCGAAGATTGGGCCTTGTACATGGAAAGAATGCATTATATTTTCCAGGCAAATGACATTGGGCAGATGAAAAGTAATGAGTAATTCTCCTGATAGCCTGTGGACCTGCAGCTTTTCGGTTATTAGGAGCCTAACTTTCCTGTAGCACCAGATACTAAAACCTTTCAAGAGCTGAATGATTTAGCTAAGGAATACTACGTACCAAAGCCACCTCTAATTCTGAGGCACTATCAGTTTTACTTAAGCAATTCAAGAACCAGGGGAATCTGTATCAGGGTTTTTGCCTAGGTTAAGATGACTGGCAGAGGCATGTGACTTTGGTTTAACCCTTAATGAGATGCTGAGAGACTGTTTGTTATGTGGGATTCATGATGTAACCATTAAAAGTGTCTACCAGCTGAAGCCCAACTGGACTTCAAACAGGTAACACAACTGGCTTTACCACTAGAAAATGTGGCAAGTGGAGCATATGAGTTACAGGGCATTCTGAAGGAAGTTCTAAGGGTTATCAAAGGAGCCAAGGCCACCTTGCATGTTGACTAAGAAGCAATTCTGTAAGGCCTGCCCAGTGCCATTTGCCCTATGGGCTAAAGTAGACATGGAAGTCAGAAGACTGGAAAGTGAAGGAATCATCAAACCAGTCCAGTCTTTGAAATGGGCAGCTCTGGTCATACCAATTGTGAAGCCCATCTGGTTAGTTCATCTTTGTGAGGATTTTAAACAAACACTACACCACTTTTCATAGCCTGATCAATTGCTCGTCTGTCGCATAGGGATTTGTACGCAAAGTAGTGGGAGACTGACCTCACAAAGCTGGATGTGAGCCATGCGTACTTGCAGTTGTGGTTAGATGAGGATTCCCAGAAGTATGCTAAATTACTACCAATAAGGGTTTGTACCAATATGCTAGACTGCTATTTGGGGTATCGTCAGACTGTACAATTTTTCAGCTGACAATGAAGAACATTTTATAAGGTCTAACCATGATGATACTATGGCTTTAAGAGGTATATTCTTTGTTAATGAAACAAGGTTGACACAGAGGAGGCAAGCAGTCTGCTCAAAGCCAGTATAGAGTAAACAGCTTGTGAGGTTTTGGCCATTTTTTTAAAAGTTGGAACAGCAGAACCAGCCTGAATGGGTAGGGTCAAGTTCCCCAGAACCAGGATTTTTAGTTTTAGCCTTGTACAGTTCCTGGGAACTTGAAGTTGGACATGGAAGCTCTTATTCCTCTCTCTGTAACAGCTAAAAGCTGGCATTCTCTTCATGCTGCTGTAATTGCATGTGAGACAATCTGTTTTACTGAATTTGCCTTTGCCTAGGGTGTGTTTATGGGATGTTACTATATTGGAACTGTTAGTAGTTTTTAATATATCTGTGATTTTGTTAAGCATTTCATAGAGTTAAGCCAATTCTTTTTGTCTGTATTTGAACTGTAGTGTTAAAATAAAGTGTGTTGTCCTCAATGTCGAGTAGTTTGACCAACTGAATTACATCTAGAACGCAGCACCTTGCACTTACCTCTCTAAAATAAGAAAATGTTAGGGTCTGGATTATTATATTTTGAGGGAGTTTGGTCTCATCCATAACAAATTGGTGGCTCTTGTTGAGATTAAAATCTCTAACTCCAGGTTAGGTTTAGGATTATTGGACTCAAAGCCAGTGAGTGGTGAGTGTTGGTATCTTTTTTAAATTTGGGTGTTGCATTCAGTTGGTTTGAACAGGGTGTACCCTGTGTCATAATGGCTCTTTCAGTCGCTAACAGTTTCCTGGGGGTCAAAAAAGTCGTTTGGGTGTTTTACAGAAAGGGAGCAAAACACCGTGCTTAGTGCGGCATGGTGGCACAGTGGTTAGCACTGCTGCCTCAGCGCCAGGGACCTGGGTTCAGTTCCACCCGCGGGCAACTGTCTGTGTGGTGTTTGCATGTTCTCCCTGTGTCTGCGTGGGTTTTCTCCGGGTGCTCTGGTTTTCTCCCACAGTCCAAAGATGTGCAGGTTAAGTGGATTGGCCGTGCTAAATTGCTCATAGTATTCAGGAATGTGTAGATTAGGTGGGTTATAGGGAGATGGGTCTGGGTGGGATGCTCTGAGGATTAGTGTGGAGTTGTTGGGCTGAAGGGCCTGTTTCCCCACTGTAGGGATTTTATGATCTTCTATGATCTTCTATGACCTATGATCAAAGCTTTCGGAATTGGCGAAAACATTGAAGTTGGAGTTGACTGTGTATGTGAGGAAAGGGGAAATAATTGCAACGATAGGTCTACGTTTACAATTGCCAGGAACGCAATCAGAATTATTGGAGATTGCCCCTGAAGTAAACTGTGTCTCTCACTTACCAGAGTCTTATGCCTGACATTAGCATTCCTGATGCCATTTCACCTTCCATCCCAGATCCAGATCCTGGTGTGGATTCTTCCTCCCTTTTAGCAACTTTACTGGAGCTATGCCTATATTTACATGAGGGGTGGTCCTATAATCAAATAGGAACTGGGAAAGTCTGGTATCTAGCGAAGCTGTAGGCTGTTTCTTCAAGCTTGCCTTTAAAGTTTGGACTGCTCTTTCTGCCAGATCATTGGATGATGGATGGTGTGGAGCTGTCCTTATACAAGGAATAACATTTGACTTGAGAAAATACTCAAACTCCCTGCTGGTGAACAATGGCCCACTATCAGTGGCCAACACTTCTGAGACATGTGTATTGCAAAGATGCACGCAATTTCTCTATCGTCATTCCTGTGTTTGATGAATGAACTCTCTGCATGTCCAGCCACTTTGAGTGGGCGTCCACAATGACCAGGAACAATGAGCCCATGCAAGGACTCGAATCCAGGGCTTACTCTGCCATTCCCACGAATGTGGGGATACTGTTGGCGGTGATGTTTGTCTTTGTTGGCACTCTGGGCACTACTGTTATGAAGTTGGTTAGAGTATTCATGAATTGGAAGGCAGGAAATTAGAATTTGTTGGTAAAAATGATTGTGGGGAAAAGAGTGCCGTGGTCCCTTTAAGAGCTTGAGCTTTGTCTGTGCTTGGAAGTTTATAAGTGCAGGTGCACAGAGAGTAACCAAATGAAAACATTTTGTAAAGAACAGCCAAGCAGTATTTTTACCAAGACAGCAAGTTTGAATTTGGCTAATTAATTTAAACCAAGCACCTAGAAACAGAAAGCCAATTGAATTTAAATCTGATGGTATTGACAACCTGAAACTAATCATATTACTAAAATTTGATTATGTCATTACCATTCTGTAAGATGAGAGTATTTGGAAAATCAAAAAGCCATCCGCCACCTGCCAGAGTTAGCACCATTCAGCTCTCCGAGAAAGCCCAAAATAATTAATCAAAGTTACCGCAGTATTTTAGCTCATATCCTCATTGAAGAAATTCTAGAGATAAAAGTTTATAAAATCATGAGGGGCATAGATAGAGTGAATAGTCAAGGTTTTTTCCCCAGGGTAGGGGAGTCTAAAACTAGAGGTTTAAGGTGAGAGGGGAAAAATTTAAAAGGGACCTAAGGGGCGACATTTTTGCGCAGAGCATGGTGTGTGTATGGAATGAGCTCCCAGAGGAAGTGGTGGAGACTGGTACAAGTACAACATGTAAAAGGCATCGGGATGGGCATGTGAACAGGAAGGGTTTAGATGAATACGGGCCAAACGCTGGCAAATTAGACTGGATTAATTTAGGATATCTGGTTGACATGGACGAGTTGGACCGAAGGGTCTGTTTCCATGCTTTGCAGCTCTCTGACTATGACTCTGAGTGCCAGAAGTTTTAAGTCTGAGAGCTGGCTCGGAGGGAGTTGGATCAGTGGAAAGAACTCACTGTGTGTAAGTGGAATACCAGCCTCTGTGGAGTTATTTCACCTTGCTGTAGAAGTTGATTCATAAATATGGTTCATAGAAACATAGACAATAGGAAGAGGAGTAGGCTATTCTCTTTGAGCCTGCTCTGCCATTCAGTATGATCATTGCTGTTCATCTAACGCAGTACCCTGTTTTCACCTACTGTCTATACCCTGTGATCCCTTTAGCCCTAATAACCATACCTAACCTCATCTTGAAAACATATAATGTTGCAGCCTCATATGCTCTCTGAGGCACAGAATTCCACAGGCTCATCCCAAACGGATGTCATTGTGATCTTGCTTAAATTGTAGAAGAAAGACAGAGTCTTTCCCATGTTGCTTTAATTTCGGCTTTTTTCCTGTTCAAATATTTTTCAAGTTCTGATGTTTGCTATTTAATTTCGTATGAAAAAGATCAGTAAGACAAGTCTTCAAATTGTAAAAGGGGAAAGCAACTATCTTTTAATTATCTCGAAATTAAGTCAAACTGCCAAACATTTTCAAGGCTGAAGCTGGTCTCTTACAAGTCAAAATGTTCCTTTTCCATAGTTTCAAAATTAACTTTAAAGAAGACTTAACACACATTCATTTAAAGTTAGGGTCAATATTATATATTCCAGTGCAATGCGCAATCTTAAAGGAAATCGGACGGACTCCATCCCATTCATGTTTCACTCACAGCTTCAAAATATAGATCCTTATAATGAGCAATGAATTCAAAGTACCAAAGATCTGTTATGTTCCCATTCCCAAAGAACACGTAGTACCAACTAGTTCACAACCAAAAATGGTCTCGAGTTTCCCTCCAAAATTAAATCCATATAGATAAAACAGGTTTAAAAAGAACTTGTGCATTCAACATTGATGGCCAGACAACAAAATATTAATGATCTTTGGCTGTGCAGAAAAGAGCACAGAAAGGAACAATGAGAAATAGACTTCCATTCACGCACACAAGTACTGAAAACCAAATCTAGTTGCTATCACCTTAAAATAGAAATAGCATTATTCCTTTCTCACAGCAGTTTTAAATTTTCCTTGACGTAGAAGCTGAAAGGATTTTCTATAAGCTTAACGAATGCTTTCAATGCTTAAGTTTTTTTTTGTTTTTGAATTGTTGTCTTCACTTTGTTTTGGTCCCCTAACTGTTGGTTGTTTAAACATCCATCATCATTCTGATGTTTGAACTTACTTTTAGCATCTCGAGTTTCACTCGCAGCTGTTATGGTGTTCAGATTAGAAACATGTTGCAATAAAGTTGTTGTACACCTTCTGTCAAGTTCCGAATCGTGAACCCACCGCTTCAGACACTCTATCTCCCTGACCTTTCCGGTTAAAAATTTCATAATCTAAGCATAAAATGAGTGCTATAGGCGGAGTTTCACCTTCCCACCTTTTAACTTTTGGCATACCCAATCATGAATAAACTTTCTTTTTGCCTGAAGACCTGTCTAAAAATTTTGGAATACATAATTTTGTCTGTTATTGGCTTTAACCACTTGTGGACCCTTCAAGGTCTCCATATTCCACATAGGTCTTCCTTCCCAAGATACACGCTGCTAGAGCTCGCTACATCAAGACTGAATACTTTTAAAAAGAAAAAAATATCATAATCTGGTCAAAACCAGCTAGGATGGAACTGTTGGCCTTTGGGTGTTTTGAGTCCATAATTGTCACAGGAAATAACTGGTAAAATGTTCAGTCATGAGACTAATGAGATAAAGTCCAAACAGATTTCTTAAGGTTTATGGTAAACTAAAACAATATAGTCAGGCAGGGATAATACAGCATGGAGCTTGAGGACTGATGGGGATAAACGTTGACTTTCCTGCTCCTCTGATGCTGCCTGACCTGCTGTGTTCCACCAGCTCCAGGCTGTATTGACTCTAACTCCAGCATCTGCAGTTCTTGCTATCTCCCAGTCAGGCAGTGATTTACTCCATAAAACTCTTGTACTCTATATTCCTGCATTATGACTATATGGGGAGTGCATGATGACTTTTCCTCTTATAGCTTTTGGACTTCTGGTTGTTCTTTTTTTTTCTCACTTTTCTGTCTTCTCCTGTCTCTAGATTCTTGTTTGATTTTGAATTGTTTGCTAGATATCCGCACCACACAAAATTTGATCAAGAGACCCTCTTTTATCCTGACTTATCCAGTTAAACACTCCCTCTGCTCAATCATCAAATGGTGATCCTGTCATGAACATGCTTTTCTCCATCATACAGGAATAGTTGATGTGGTTGCTACTAACCTAATATAATTACAGAATGTTCTTTGTATTTACCACTGTATCTCAAGGCTTTTATACTTAATGCTTTCTTATCTTGTGCAGAAGAGACATCTACATTTCATTCATGCATAACAGTTCCTCTCAGAGCACATTCAAGTCCTCAGCTTTTTGCTAGAGTAAGCAGCAAAAGTTTGACATGACTCTCGTAATGCCAATACCTTGGCATTTTTTGTGCCTAACTTCTCCAGTTTTCCCACTTTACTATACTACTAATCAAGTTCCTGATAAAGTTAGGTGTTGGTTTCTAATGATGTTAGATTTTAGCAATTAATCCAATAGTCTTACATCTGTAATATAAATTGAAAATTGCTTTTCTTGTTTCAAAAACTAAAAGATTGAAATGGTCTTGTTTTTGGTGCCTTCAGATTAACCACTTTATTTATCTTTTGTATAGCTACATTATCTTAGATTACCTAAGGATATTAGTGAGGATTATGTCATTCTGATGGACAGTACAGTGTCAACAGGAGCTGCTGCAATGATGGCAGTTCGAGTCCTTCTGGTGAGTAAACAATGATTTTAAAAAAAGCGGTTGCTGTTTGTTTTCAGGTATACCTCTAGCCTTGGCAGGTTTGAATTACAATCTCTGGTCAGTAAATTATAGTACTGAGAGAAACTTTGTTGTGAGAGGTGGTGGTTAGAGTGGAAGGTGGTTTTCCATCTTATTTTAAAGCGTAACATTTGTGTCTGGTATCTTTTATGTAACTGTGCTAAAATTTATTTTTCCTTTTATTTAGGGTATTTATGTTCGTTTTCTTCATCACCTGAACAAGGGTCACTGGACCCAAAACGTTAACTCTGCTTCATCTCCACAGATGCTGTTATACATGCTGAGCTTTTTCCAAGAATCCCTGTTTTTGTTAGAGATTTGGAACATCCTACTCAACTTTGGCTGCATGCAGAAATTCATCAACATCCTCCGTCTGCTGCACAGCAAGATGCAAATTGTGACCCTCATCCAGGGATCCACCACAAAAGCAAGTTCAAAAGTGGAGTCAAGCATGGCTGTGTCATTGCACCAACGCTCCTCCATCTTCATTGCAGCAACACTCTACCCATTTCCATGAAGATCCCCCTAGAGCAAAGATCATCTACAGGACCAGTAGGGAACTATTAAATCTGTGTTGCTTCTAGTCCAGAAACAGATCCCAATCTTTGCCATCAGGGTGCAGTGCACTGATGATTCTTGTGTTTCTGCACCTTCACACTGAGTTCTGAACCATCTTCAACACATTATTGGAGACATTGAGAGAATAGGTCTCAGACTAACCATTTGGTTGAAAAAGGACCTCCTCCAGCTTTCTGTATCTGTGCAGCACTACTGCCTGACTATCGAGTACTATGCTGAGCCACTTAATTATGTGGATCCACTGTCATAATTTAGGAATTTCCTTTCAGCTAAAGCAGACATTGATAATGATTCTCTGTCCCCTTCAAGGTGCCTGTGCAGCCTTAGGTCAACTGAGGAATTGAATGTTTAATGACAAAGATCTCAAAACTAATGTAAAGTTCAGGATCTACAAGCAGCAGGATTACCTTCCGTCCGGTATGTGTCACTGAAACGGATAATCTACAACTGACACCTCAAATGGCTGGAGAAATATCACCAACAATGCCTCTGCAAAATCCTGCAAATACAGTAGCAGGAATAGAAGGTCTAATATCGGTATCCTTTCAGGCCATCATGCCCAGCATTAAGAACAATACAGCACAGGAACAGGCCCTTCAGCCCTCCAAGCCTGCGCCAACACATTTTATCCTTGCATATTAAGACTGTCTTCACTTACAAGATCTGTATCCCTCTATTCCTATCCTATTCATGTATTCATCCAGGTGCTTCTTGAATGCTGCTATTGTATCTGCTTCCACCACCACCTCTGGCAGGGTGTTCCAGGCACTCTCCACCCTTCTGTGAAAAATGTACCTTGCACATCTCATTTAAACTTCCCCCACCTCGCACCTTGAACCTGTGTCCCCTAGTAATTGACCCCTCTACACTGGGAAAGAGCCTCATACTTTCCACTCTATCCATGCCATTCACAATCTATTAAAATTCTATCAGGTCGCTCCCCAACCTCCTGTGTTACAGTGAAAACAAACCCAGTCTATCCACCCTTTCTTTGTAGCTAAAATCCCCCATACCGGGCAACATCTTGGTAAAGCTTTTTTGTACCCTCTCCAAAGCATCCACGTCCTTCTGGTAGCGTGGTGACCAAAACTGTATGCAGTATTCCAAGTGTGGTCTAACGAAAATTCTATAAAGCTGCAGCATAACTTGTCTATGTTTATACTCAGTGCCCCTTCCAATGAAGGTAAGCATGCTGTAGGCCTTTTTTACTGCCTTATCTAACTGTACTGCCGCCTTCAGTGATCTGTGGACCTGCACGCCCAGATCTCTCTGCATATCAATACTCCTAAGGGTTCTGCCATTCACTGCATAATTTCCACCTGTATTTGACCTTCCAAAATGCATCCTCACATTTGTCCAGATTAAACTCCATCTGCCATCTTTCTGCCCATGCCTCCAACTGATCAAGATCCTGCTAGATCCTCTGACAATCCTCACTATTCACAACTCCACCAATCTTTGTATTGTCCACAAACTTAATAATTAGACCAACTATATTTTCCTCCAAATCATTTATGTAGATCACAAACAGCAGAGGTCACAGCACTGATTCCTGTGGAACAGCACTGGTCACAACCCTCCATTCTGAAAAGATCCTTCCACCACTACCCTGTTTCTCCTATGACTGAGCCAATTTTGTATCCATCTTGCCAGCTCACCCCGATACCAAATGACTTCACCTTTTGTATCAGTCTGCCATGAGGGACCTTCTCAAAGGCTTTACTGAAGTCCATGTAGACAACATCAACCAATTTTCCCTCATCAATCACCTTCACCACCTCCTCAAAAAACTTGATCTCAAGTTAGTGAGGCACGACCTCAGTTGCACAAAACCATGTTGTTTATCACTAATCAGTCCATTTGCTTCTACATGCTTATAGATCTTTTCCAATAATTTCCATACCACTGACTAGAGGCTCACAGGCCTGTAATTTCCTGCATTGTCCCTGTTACCCTTTATAATCGTTGGGACAACATTAGCTATTCTCCAGTCCTCTGGGACCTCACCTGTGGCCAAAGAGGATACAAAGATATCTGCGAATGCTCCGGCAATTTGTTCTCTTGCCTGCCTCAATATTCTGGAATAGATCCCGTCCCAATCTGGGGACTTATCTATCTTAATACTTTTTAAGATGCACAACACCTGTTCCTTTTTAATAGCAACTTGGCTTAGAAATTCGACACTCCCTTCCCTCAGATCGTGCTCCACCAATTCCATTTCTTTGGTGAATACCAATACAAAGTATTCATTTAAGACTTCACCCACCTGTTCTGGCTCCACACATAGATTTCCTCCTTTGTCGTTGAGCGGGGCTACCCTCTTGCTTTTTACATATGTATAAAAAGCCTTGGGATTCTCCATAATTCTGTTTGCTAATGACTTTTCGTATGCCCTTTTAGCCCTTATAATTCCTTGTCTAAGTGCTTTCCTACTTTCTTTATATACTTCAAGGACTTTGTCAATTCCCATCCTCCTAGACTTTATGTATACTTCCTTTTCCTTAAGGCATTGCTTATGATCAGTCAGCTGAATTGAATAGGCCATATCATCCACATGTCTGATACAAGACTCCCAAAACAAGCTCTCTACTCTGAGTTTCATCACAGAAGGGGTTTCAAGGAGGGACGAAGAAACACTTTGAGGGGATCCTCGAAGCTTCCTTTGAAAGATGCTACATCCTCACCAACGTGTGAACCTCTTCCCAAGACCACCTAAACTGAAGAAAAAGCATCCATGAAGGTTCCAAGTATTTTGTGCATCTTCAACAGAGTCCAGATGGTGGCCAAGTGAAAACAATGGATGGTGCATGTGAAAACCTGAACATCCATTCGCTCCTGTTATCAAACAACATCTGCCTCACCTGTGGCAGAGTGTGTGGATCCAACATTGAACTCTTTAGTCATCTCAATTTTGCAATGGAAGGAAGTTATCCCTACTCCTGAGAGACAGCCTAAGAAAAATAAATTGTATTGGGACTATTTATTTTTATCAGTATGAATTAATATACAATATGTGACATCAGAGAAACCTGTCTGATTGTTTGAAGTACTGAAGAAGGATTTTGATATTTAATTTCCTTTTCAGAATTATAATGCAGTCTAAATACTTGCGTATCTGATCTCCGTTTCTTTGTTCAGCAAAAGGTTCAGAACTAATTCACATTGAGTGACACATCGAAATGTGATTTCTGGTCAACCTGCAGAAGCATCTATGAACTATTGGATGTAATTTCATATAATGTAATGAAGTATTGTCATTTGCAGCTCTAGATTTTGTGAAGCAAAATGGTGGTATGAAATTATTGTAAAGTTGCATCTATTTGAATAAAGTCTGCCACATTTATGATTTCCATTACTTTGAACATCTCTAATAATTTTATGAAATAATATTAGTGTATGTAATTCTAGTTTTGCAGCTGGTGAAATCTACACCTCTTGAAATCTGTCTGACTTATTTCAGGATCATGATGTGCAAGAAGATAAAATTTTCCTGCTCTCATTGCTGATGGCTGAAATGGGAGTGCACTCGGTGGCTTATGCCTTTCCTAAGGTTAACATTATCACCACTGCTGTAGACAAGAAAGTAAATGACGAATTTCATATTATTCCTGGAATAGGTAAGGTCATATGTGAATTTGAATCTAACTAAGGAGGCTACTTCTTATTTCTTCCATGCTTCAGGTAGATCAGCTGTTTGACTTGACATAAAGTACAAGTCCTCGTAAGCAATGATTATTTTCTCAACAAAAACAAAGTTGGAAAAGCTCAGCAGGTCTGGCAGCATCTGTGAAGGAAAAAAAA